TGTCTGTGAATCACTGGCCGGAAGGGCCCTGCGCAGAGGGGCCCCTGGGCACCACGCCCGCCACCGTGGCAGCCCCACCTGCCGCTCCACTGCCGGGGAAGACACTCCCGGGTTTGCCAGGGGAGAGGTGGGCATGGCTCGCAGGAAGACGCCCCCCCCCCCAGGCACCTGGGAACCACAGAGGGGGTCAGAGGAGCTGAGCAGACGCGATTCTTTGGTGTGAGAGTCTGTACCTGAAAAATGTGATGCCCGAGAGGGAGGAGCGGCCCAGCTCGGGGACCCCGGGCCGCCTCGACGCAGCCTCCAAACCCGCCACCCACCAAGTGTCAATTAAACGCCCCAGACACGACGACACTGGAGTCCCTTCATCTTCCCAGCCCGGGGGGCCCATCTGCCTCTCTCCGCCCGGCCAGCCCATCTTGTGTGGCAGCAGAAGGGATGCGCCCAGACCCCCAGCCTGAGAACAGGGGAGGGCAGGGCAGCCAAGGCGGGGCTGCCGGGCCCTGAGGTCTCCCCCCGCGATGTGAGAGCTGGAAGAGCGAGGCTGCGGTTCTGTCTTTAGGGCCAAGGCGTGTCGCCAGCTCCAGGGCCTCCCTCCTCAGCCCAGCCCGCCCTCTGGGCGCTGGAGGCCTGCAGGGAACTGCCCGGGGCCAGCAGACAGGCCAGAGCGAGATCCACACGTGGAGTCCTGCCCTCCCTCCAGACTCCCCTGGCTGGGACCGAGGGTCACCAGGCGAGGAGGGGTGGGCGGCAGGCAGACCACGGCCTCCCTGACTCCCTGCCAGGCTGGGTGCCCCAGTTTCAGACAGAACTCAGGCAGTGTCCCCAGCACAGGGTCCTCACCCTGGTTCTTCTGGAACAAGCCACACTTCCAGGTCCTTCCCACAGAGATGGGGAAACCAAGGCTCAGGGATGGGCACGTCCCAGGATGAGGGATGGGAGCACGGCAGTCCTCCCTAAGCCCTCTCGTCTCTACCCCCGGGCGGGCACCTGCCCAGGTGACACAGCACCGACTGGAGGGGGTCTCACCCCCATGGCTGGGCCCGCGCCCCGTGTAGGGGACACTCGGGATCCCCGGGGGCCTCACCCTGCGATCGCACGGAGCTCCCACGGCCACTCGTGCAGTAGATTCACTTAGAGACGGGCACACGGGCTAAGGGAGGCAAGCCCCCGCCCACCTGTGAACGGCGGCAGCGGGTCTCCGGTGTGAGGTGCCACCTGGAGCAGCGCCAGCTTGCCCGTCCCCAAGGCTGCACCACGGAGGCAGGAAGACGCTGCCCTGGCCTGTGTCCACGTCACCACTGGGCAGGGGCAGGGCTGGGCGGGGGACCTGTCACTCACTGCGCACGCCCGCACCACTCAGCCTCTCCTAGCAGCAAGAGAAGCATGCAGCACATCCCAGCACAGGGCCACCCTGCGGGGGCAGTGGCACAAGCGTGGAGTCACCACTTGGCAGGAAGTGCCCAGCTGTGGACAGCCCGGGGCACACTCAGCTCTGCCAGCCTCGTGCCTCAGACCGGCCCATGGGGGCCGATGGGCTTTGGTCACCCGGATGTGCATGGATTTCCAGGGGTGGGCGGGGCTTTCGCTGGAGCTAAGAAGGCCCTGATGACAGTGGTGAGCGCCCCTACGCAAGGCCCTGGGGACCTGCCTGTCCGTATTCCTTCTGTGGGTGCCGCCAGCACCTGCTGCTCCCAGCCTGGCCATTAGTCTGCTTCCCAGGCCATTTGTCCGCGATAGATAGGACGACAGAGCCCAAGGAGGGCCTCACTGAGTCCCTCGGGGGCCAGGGAGGCTTTGACAAGATGGGGGAGATGTTCCCATCCACCTCCAGGCTGAAAAGCAGCAGGGGACCTTCCAGTTGGAACAGCACAGGCAAAGGCTCAGAGGTGGGACGCCACATGGATGTATTTTCTTGATCCAATTGGAAGGTTACTAGGCCACACAGGTGGACTGCTTTATGTTGTCAGACTGAGTGGTCATGTAGAACTTGCCAAAGAAAGTATCTCCAAGACGGCGGCCACAAAAGATAGCCCTTAGTGTCCAAGAGTACCGCATGACAATAAGCTTACAGGTTGTCATTATTAATGATAGCAAGGACTCGGCACCACCGCCCCTCACTAGAAGCTGCTGGTGCCCATGCACCCCGACCGGCTTTCAGGGATCCTTACGAAGGCCCTGTGGTAACACCTGCCCTGCTGTGTGTGAGTGCCTAGCCGGACCACCGCCAGGCGTTTGGGGGACAGACTGCTGACGGTGAGCACAGAAGGGAGATCAAGCGTGAACTCTGAGACAGCAGTCAGCTCTGGCTGACTGAGGAGACCCGGTGTCCAGGGCCGGGCACCGCTGCTGCAGTGTCGGGGGGCGTCTCTCACAGGGGAGGATGTTGCACATGACACGTTGATCCACAAGGAGAGGCCGTTGCGGAGGTCTCCGGACAAACAACCGTATCGAACGCATCGCTCATGGCCAATGTGTTCTTGCCTGAAACGCAACCTGAGGGAGCCAGAAGCGGCCCTGACTCTTCCAAATGGCAATGTCGTCAACACAAAAGTGTGAGGGAGAACGTCCCAGACGGGGCGGGGCTGTGTCAACACAATGTACCAGCCCTTCTCGGATGGTCTCAGATTCACCCACAATTCTGCAGGACATTTTGGGAGACAACTGGGGCAATGCGCACAGGGGTTGTATTTTAGATAATAAATGCTATTGTGTGAAATGTAAGTTTTTAGGGGGATACTGTTATCTGAGAGGAGGCTCTTGTTCCTGCGAGACCAGTTTTTTCTTTGGCGGCACCACCTGAAGGTGGCATGCATCCCTTCACCCTCCAAATTCCTGAGTGTGCGTGGGGGGCGGGGCGGCGGGAGAGGAGGCAGCCACTGAGGCAGAGTGCCGGAGGCTGGGGAGTCAGGTGAGCGGCCACAGGAGTCCCTCCTACCACTCACTCCACTTCTCTGTAAATCTGGAATTTGCAAAAATAGAAAGTCTGGGGGGAGGACATCATGGTAATAGATTTTTTTTTCTTTTTTTGTTGCCTCTACCAAGGTGAGGTCGAGAAAGAACCACGGGAAATGGACTTCTGCCCAGGGCTCTGGTTCTCGTGAGGAGGCCACTGTTGGTGGTGACACTGTCTGTTCCCGCTCCCTCTCCCCAGCTCCCAGGACCGGCCAAGTCAAATGACTCTGGGTTTTCTTTTTTGGTGGCTCAACCTTCAAGTGTGGCCCCTGACCGGACATCCAGGCCGAGTCCTGATGGGCCCATGCACACCCCCTCCCCCCCGAGGGCCACGCTGACCCAGGTTTTCAGGAGAAATGCTAAGCCCGCAGCCTCCAGCACAGCTCAGAGGCTCTGCGATCGGGTGTGGACGGCCTTGCCCTGTGGCCCCTGCAGCCAGCGCTCTCTCCCGGGAGGGAAGATGCAAAAAGAGCAACTGTTTCTACTCTCTGCACAGACTTTAGAGGCCTAACGTTTTTTAAAAAAAATAATCTTAGACACGAGTGAATAGAGACAGACCCTGGAGACTGAGATCTGTCCCGTTAGGCCCAGAGCATCTGAGGTCCTTCCCGGGTCCTGTGCCCTGCACAAGGGGCCGTGTTTAACATGGGTGTAACGTGGATGTAGCATGGATGTGACATGGATGTGACATGGAGTGCGTGCCTGTTCAGAGGGGTCTTGTGTGCTGGGTTTCAGTCCTATGGGCCAAAGGCTTGGGACTGGCGGCATTTGGTCTCCTTCCAGAAACCATGTAGGTTTCCTCTTCCCAGGATCCCGCTGGGGCTCCCGGCACCTTCTGAGCAATCCAGCCAGAGCCCATTTGCACCCGGAGCCGGGAGCTTCCCATTCAGGAAGAAGGAGCAGGAGGCGGTGACTGTGGGAATGGCAGGGGCGTGGCGTGGCTGTCATTGGAAGGGCCTCCAGGGGCCATCGGTGCCTAGCTGTCCTCTGAGGTCGCCCCCTAGTGAGAGTGGGAGGAATTGCCCCTCTCGGAAAAGTTGTCCCCTGAGATTGACGAGCCCCCAGCAGGCCAAGACCGGCTCCCTGCCTCTCCACCATCCTGAGACCAACACGAATGCCCCCGTATTTACCATCAGACGCAGAGACAGGCTTTCCTGGAATACATACACACAGAGAGAGGTTTGTTAACGAGGAACGCCCTGTCTTTTTGTTCTTAATTAGGAAAAGGACCCACATTGACCTGCTGATACCCACTCACATCCACGCACCCACACCGTGACCCTCACTCATTCGGTGGCTGCTGCACCAACGGCCATGCCCACCGCCATCACAGAAATAAGAGGGAAATAGTGGTCTCCCCTCCCAGCTCCCGGTTTATCCGGACGCTTCCAGTCGCATGGTAAACTGTTAGAACTGGAGATGGTAAAACTGAACAGGTCTGTAATAAATTAATAGTACTATTGGCTTCGGATGATCCCACCGATAGCTTTTCCTTGTGTTGAGAATGCATACCAGTTTAACAGAGTACATGCTTTAAAAAAATGCTTTTAACTGGCAAGCTAAAATGATCCATGTCGCCTTGCCCACCCCACCCCGCCCCCTAAAAATAAGTTAATATAATTTAGAACCGAGCATTTTAAAAGTATGGGCATGACGCATCAGGGATAAAGGCTGCTCGCGGAACATGCTCGACTTGGCAAGATGATAAATCAAAAACCTCGTGGGTTTTGTTTTCCTGGGTTGTTTGGAAGCAGCCAAAAGCAGGCTATTAACAAAATTGTAGGATGGAGAAAATAAATGAATACCTGTGCTTTCCTCCACATCGCATGGCGCCCGCGCACGCACACACACACACACACACCGGCACACACACACAGGCACAGAGGCACACACACACCTACACACAGCCACCCACTCCCTGGAGAGGGAAAGAGCGGCGGCCCATCGGGGACGCCCTGGGGGTGGGCGCTAAGGCTCCGCCTGGCGTGCAGCTCTGGGCTGGGTATCGTCTCAGCTGTGTCCCGTGGTCTCGGTGTCACACTGTCCTGGGGAGGCCACCCCGCGAGGGGCGGCCAGGGAGAAATGTAAGGCATGTGTCGCTGGTGAGGAAGGAGGAGGAAGAAGGAACCCATGCTTCATGCTCAGATGCGCGTCTCAGAGGGAGGCCTGGGCCGGCTCCGTCCGGCTGGAAAGGGAGTGAAGAAAGGAAACCGAGAAGGAAGGAAGGACAGGAAGGAATGACGGTGACAGGACGCCTCTGACGGAGAAAGGGTAATAAATAAACAAGCGAGGAAAGACGTGGGAACCAGGAGGTCACGGTTCGATTCCCGGTCAGGTCACAGGCCCGGGTTGTGGGCTCCATCCCCAGTGGGGGGCGTGCAGGAGGCAGCCAATCCATGATTCTCTCTCATCATGGATGTTTCCATCTCTCTCTCCCTCTCCCTTCCTCTCTGAGATCAATAAAAATAAAAATTAACAAAAAGCAAGACGAGTGGGGCCAACGGAACATGACGTGACAGGTGAGGGTTTCCGCCGCGGCCCTCCCCGCCCCCGCCCGCCCC